CCCCCCCAACCCCCACATGAAGGAAGAACCCTCCCTCCCTCCCTCCGTCCCCTCTGTCATGTCAGCTCTTCTTGTACGCCTGCATGAGGTCGTCAGCGATAGAGTAGGCAATCATGGCCGCCAGCACCAGCATCAGCCCCACCGTGGCCCAGAAGGGCCGCCGCTCGATACACGAGCAGCCCCACACACTTATGCGCTCATCCCAGTCCACATACTGCCGCAGGAGCTGCTCCAGCCGCTCCGCTTCAGACGCCGAGTGGAGCGTGAACGCGTGTGAGCGGGGCGACTCCTCAGATTCCCCAGCCCCTTCATGCTCGTCTTTTGCCGGCGACGTGTCGTCAGGCAGGTAAGACGCCAGTTTGTGCCTCATCCGCCGCTTGCTGCCTTGGTGCCGCTCCTCCCTGCCACCCTCCTCAGTGCCGTTCATCTCAGCTGGTGGGTCGGATGACACAAGGCAGCTCGCCTTGGCCGACGACACGCGGGAGTTTTCCTGGGTGTCGTCCGCCACCGTCACTGCGTCGGACTGCCTGCCCGCATCGTTGTTGTAGGGCGACACCTCCGCGTCGACGAGCCGCACCAGAAGGTCTCTGGCACCTGAGCCGCCTTCCTCGTGTGCGTGTGGGAGTGGCTGTGTCCTGGTCTTCCGGGCGATGGCCAGCAGATACACCACAGCGGGGAGGAAGTAGTTGGCCAACACACCTGCCGTGATAGAACTGCACACACACAGAAAACAGAGAGACACACACACACAAATGGCAATGTGTGTGTCGCCCTCCCAGAGAAGCACAGACAGATAGAACTTACCTCCAGGCAAGCAGCCTGCCGAAGAGCCGCCCATTGGACAGGGCCCATGCTATCAGCCAGGGGGCACAGCAGCCGTAGAAGAACGCCCCCTGCTGACCGCACAGACCACTGTTGTAGAGGTTGTAGCGGCTCGCAATGGCCATGACAGGAATGCCCGGCAGCACGGTGGTGAACGAGAAGCTGAACATCGACAGCCGCGTGAGCATCCCCGTCGACGGCTCGTTGGTCATGTACACGAAGGCGTTGCTGCTGTTGAGCGCGGGGTACGCCACACACACCACCAGGGCGAAGCTGAAGTAGAGAAACGCCGAGAGGATGGCCGACATCCACACGACGGGGACCACACGAGTGGACGGCAGGATCTCGTTGCACCAGGAGGGGATCAGCACCACGTAGGAGTATGACGCGACCATGATGCCGAAGACGGCGCCGTAGCCAGTGTCTCCGACTAGAGGGGGGAAGGTCATTGGGGAGTGGGTGCGCTCCTCCTGCTGGAATGACCGAATGATCGACGAGATGATGATCAGGCCGATGGCGCCGAACTGCAGGAAAAACGTGACGATCTGAATGTACATGTTCTCATTCAGACTGACACACACATCGACACCGACACACGCACATAACTGAGTGCCGCTCTTCCGCCCGGTGTGCTGTCCTACTTGAGGTAGCTCATGGGCAGGCACAGCAGCGCCGTGAAGAGGTACCCCCCGGTGATGGCAAAGATCATCGTGTGTTGCCGGCCGTCGTGGTTCTCATAGCCGCCTCGATAGACCTTCTCCACGTTCGACCAGCCGCCCACATGAGCGTGTGGCCACACCTCGATTACGGGCACCTGCCCGAAGCAGCGGATGAAGCACCGGTCGAAGGCCTCGGCCGTCACGATGATGGCGGCGATGTTCATGGCCTGGATGGCCACCTGGTAGACCACCTGGATTAAGGTGGCCGACCGGTCGCCGAGGAAGTACTGGACCGTTGCGACGTACTCCTCCCGCTTCTCGAGGTGTTTATTTCCAGGCACCCGAACCATGCTCTACACCCACACACACACGGGGCAATCCACACGTGGCTCGTGCCTGTTGTGGTGCTCAGGGAAGAAAAAGTTACCTTGATGACCATGAAGGTCGCGATGCAGCTGATCGCACAGATAGCGGCGTTGGCGAAGAACACGGTGAGCCATCCGGCGTGAAGCATGCACAGCGGCACACCCACAAAGCCCGCTCCGAATATCTGAGGAGCGACAGACATGAGAGTGTGGCCGGCTGGTCTGGTCGGCTCTTGCATGGCATGATGTGTGTAATACCTACCTGGTTGACAAGAAACACGAATGACTGGAAGCTGCACCAAACACACACAACACAGCACGGCAGGCACACTTGCAAATGCGCCATCGTTGAGCATCCGGCTTTCTGTACCTGCCGATGCTTTTGGCTCCGTAGGCCGTATGGTGGCCTATCAGCCGTGATATGAACATTGCGACGCTGCCAGCACACCCAGACCTACAGGAAACACACCGCCACACACACACACCCCTGCTAGCGCTTGTCACTGCTTCCCACGCGATTCTTGCATGGCGTATTCATCCCACCTGTAGAGCCTCCTCACTACGCGGCACTACGGTACGCGCCTCTTTCAATTGCGAGCTACTCTGCGAGCTACAGACGGTGCAGAAGATCTTTCGCATCCTTCGTGTGTTGTGGCACCTCACTCGTCATCCTGTCGTCTCCTCGCGTCTTTCGTCTCGGCATCCTTCTGTCCTTTGCTCTCATCCGCATCCCAGCCCTTCGCTTAATCGGCAGCAGCAGCAGCGGCCGCAAACCAGCCTCCCTCTCATATTCGCATCAAAGATCAAAGATGCCTCCCTCTCTCTCATCTGACGAGCGCGAGAGCCGGCCCTTCGACGTGATTGTCTGGGGAGCCACCGGCTTCACCGGCAAGCTGCTCTCGGCCTACTACGCCAAGACCTACGGGCCATCCGGGCATTCGGTCAAGTACGCCCTGGGCGGTCGGAGCAAGACCAAGCTCGACAAAGTAGTGGAAGACATAGCCGAGAAGTTGGGCGACAAGATGATCAAGAACACGCCGCTGGTCATCGGCGACGCGAGCGACAAGGCCTCGATGATCGAGGTGGCCAAGCAGACGAGGGCCGTCGCATCCGTCGTGGGACCCTTTGCCCAACACGGAGAGGTAAGGGACATGAGACAGACAGGAGCTCATGGCTGTTGAGGTTATGTATGTATGTATGTGTGTGTGGATGCAGCCGTTGGTGGCGGCGTGCGCCGAGGCGGGCACTCACTACGTGGACATCACCGGCGAGTTCACCTTCATGCGCAAGATGATTGTCAAGTACTCCTCGGTGGCCGAGCAGAATGGCGCCAAGATCGTCCACGCCTGCGGCTTCGACTCGGTGCCCTCGGACATGGGCGCATTCATGGTGGGTCACAGTGACTGCCACAGACACACACACACACACATATACCTCTCTGGCCGGCCACACACCTCTCTCGTGTCGGTGTATACGACTGACAGGTGCAATCCTTCGCCAAGGAGAAGTTCGGCCGTCCGTGTGAGTCCGTGCTGCTCTACATGATGGACGCTGCGGGGGGGTTCAGCGGCGGCACCCTCCACTCGCTCATGGGGATGTACGAGGCGCCCAAGGAGGAGCAGCAGCGGTACGCCTCCAAGGACTACCTTGTGGCACCCAAGACAGAAGACGCACTCGATTTGCCGCCCAGCAAGTACGAAAGAGGCCCGAAGTGCGTGTGGGTGGATGGGCATTCATCCCTCGTCCTTGGCCTGTGTGTGTGTGTGTGTGTGTGTGTGGTGTGTGGTCAGGGAATGGTTGCTGGCTGGCACCAAGTTCCAGTGGGACGATGACATGCAGGTCTACACCGCCCCATTCGTCATGGCAGGCGTCAACGTCAAAGTCGTGCGGTCAGAAACACGACGCACACCACATAAGACGACGACAGGCGAGCATCCACTCTGTGTGTGTGTGTGTGTGTGTGTGTGCAGACGCACGGCAAGTCTGCTCAAGGAGCTGTACGGTGAGGAGTTCAGCTACGACGAGTGCGCGGGCATCAAGAACCGCCTGGCGGCCAACGTGGCACTGGGCGCTTTCACGGCCATGGAGTACCTCAACAGCTTCACCATCGTCCGCTCCATAGCCAAGCGACTCGTGCCACAAGGTGACCTACAAGGCCTCCACCAGCACACACGTCGTCAATGAATGTCTCCCTCCTGTCTGTTGGTTGATGTGCAGGTTCTGGTCCGAGTGAGAAGGTCATGACCAGCGGCTATTTCGACGCCAGAGTCGTCGGCAAGACCAAAGACGAAAACGGGGTCATCCGCAAAGTCGTCGCCACAGGTCTGACAATGCACACACACAGAGAGAGAGACAGAGAGAGAGGGGGACACCAGATCATCCGTCTGTGTGTGTGTGTGCGATGATCGATCAGTGGGCAGCAAGCTCGGCGACCCTGGGTACATGGAGACGGCCAAGATGGTGGGCGAGAGCGCCCTGTGCGCCGCACTGGACGGCTCCACCACCCCGTCCACCTACGGCGTGCTGACCCCCGCCACCGCATTCGGCGACGCACTCATCAAGCGGCTCAGGAACGCTGGCATGACATTCGACGTGGAAGAGCTGGGAGCAGGTAGACGAGACGGCGACACACACACCGTTCTGTTGTTGGCAACAATTTGATGGTGTCGGTCTGTTTGTGTGCGTGTGTGCAGCTGAGGCGCCCCCAACCAGCGCGTAAACGACCTGCGAGCGAGGGAGAGGGGAGAGTGTGTTAGTGGGGTGGACCATGATGATGAAACTGGCGACCAAGAGCTTATCTGCGTGAGCGTTTGCTCTTGCTCTTGCTCTCGCGGCCATGGCCACTACATGGACACAATACAATGTATGTATGTGTGTATGTATTGTATATGCCGTATGGTGACCGGGCTGTCTGTTCGATCCACTCTTTTCTTGAAGCCTGTTCGTCCCCTTCGTCCCTGCCTGCCTGCCTGCCTGCCTGCCTGATTGGCTGGTTGGCTGCCTGGCTGCATCCGGCTCGTGCGTGTGCATGTGTCTTGTACGTTTTGATTCATTCATTCATCTGTGTGTGTATGTGTGTGGTGCAATCAATTGATGTTTCTAGTGTGCGTTTGCCAGTGTACAGCTAGCGCGGCCGGTGGCTTGGGCATCCATCGATTTTCATGTGTGCACCGGCACATGGCAGACGTCCAGAGAGAGCGGGTCCCGGCCGCGTCGATTCGTTCGAACACAGCAGGAGAGGGGGTGGAGGGGAGCTCGTGAGGGGTGAACACACGCATGCAGAAAGACACACGGACATAGACAGACTGCTGCGTCATCCATGTCTGTGTGTCTGTGTGGGGGGGTCATGTGGACTCATTTAGGACTCATTCATGTGTTGTGTCAGTGATTAGGCCTCTCAATCAATGCATTACTCTGTGCGCGTGTGCGTGTGTGTGTCATCTGTTCACCCGCAGGCGTCATCCACCTTCCGCAGCCGCCTGCGGGCTGTGGTCTTCGGCTTCACCTTCGCACGCACCTAAACCGCACAAACACACATACATGCAGTTCGACGCGTCGCATGTCGTGTGCACGTCTTTTCTCTCACCTTTGGCTTTGGCTTTGGCTTGGGTGCGTTCTCGTGGGCCGACGAAGAGTCCGATGAGGACGGCTCGCTGATGTCACTCTCGCTCACAGATGAGTCGGACGATGAACCACCATGACGATCATCCTCGTTCGTGCGCTTGGCAGGCCTGCGCTTCGGCTTGGCCTTGGCCTTGCCCCTCGCCGGCTGCACCCTCTTGGCCACACCGCGGTCCTGCAGAGGGACCTGCACACGCACACACACACACAGAGACACTGCATGAGCGAGACACGGCGTTTGGTATAAGAAATCTGCTGACCATTTCCTCATCCGAGGAGTCCATGATGTCGCCCCCATCGCTGTGGTGTCGTCCGATGTCCTCTCTATCTCGCTGCTGCTTCTTGATCTTGCTGGCAGCTCGGGTGGTGGCCGCCTGGCGTTTCTTGCTCTTGTTGGCTGCGGGTGCTGCAGGTCTGGGTGGTGGGAGTATGGCGCTGCCGATGGGGATGTCGTTCATCGACTGGATGGTGTCGAGGAGCTTCACCAGCGCTGAGGCTTGCTGCTGGAGGGTAGACGCTGTGGCCTTGGGGGCGGCTGCTGCTGCTGCTGATCGGGTGAGGAGGGAGACACATCATGGATTCATTGTCGGTTTGTGCACTGGTTTATTCTGCTTCTCACTTCCGTCGTCATCTTGGTCGTCGTTTGCCCGTGCTTGCGGTCCAGCTGCCTTCTTGACGGCATTTTTCAACGCCGTAAGCACCTGAAACATACACCAAAGATGGAAGAGCGGCCTCTCGTGTGATGCCATCCACAAAGAGGCACACACACACAGAGATACGGACCTGTTTGTGTTGCTGTATGATGCTCTTGAGCAAAGCTTTGTTTGCGTGGCTCTCGAGCTTGGCTTTTGTGGTTGCGATGAAGTCGTGAGTGACCTGGCAGCTGCTCAGCAGCTTCGCCAGCCGGTGCGCGTGCTCTGGGTGGGCCATCAACATCTCAAACAAGACCTTATCCATACCGCACTCTGACACACACACAAACACGGACGAAAAGATATCCACTGGAGACACACACACACACGCCGGCAGACAGCGCCTGACTGACCATTGCAGAACTTGCTGATGAAGGTCACGAGCCGTTCCCACTCGGAATCGTCGAGGTCGTCCATCGCAAGAGCAGTCGACAGCTGCGTGCACAGCACACGGACAGCCAGAGTGTGTCGATATGTACCGCCTCCCGCATTCACATTCATTCATACCATTTGGTTGAGGTACACGAGCATGACGTTGCCGCCTCTTGCCCTGCCCCCGCCCGCTGCGGCCCGTCGGCTGAGTGGATTCTCCATGCTGCTGGTCTTGAGCTTGGACAGATACAGCGACAGCTGGTGCTCCGTCGCACTCCGCAGACCGCCGTGGCTGCTCACCACACCACTCACCAACTGCACCAAGCCATGATTGTGCACTCATGTCGTGTCTGTGGGTGTGTGGGTGTGTGGGTGGGTGGGTGTGAGAATGGCTTTCTGCTTACCGCACAACAGACGCCCGAGTCGAGTCGCAGGTGTCCGCTTCTGAGCATGTGGATGAACACCGTCATGAGCTGGATCTTGAGCCGCGCAGGCGTGTCATCGGTCGACGCCAACTGGGAGAGCGAGGAATGACATATATGACCGTGTCTCACTCAACCCCCCCGGGACCCACCTCCAGCATTGACGGCAGCAGCGTCTCGAGGACCTGCCCATGCGACTGGCCGATGGTGAGCACGAGCCGCACACACATCATCTTGACATCCAGCAGGGCTGACGAGTCGGCCCGGCGCATCTTGTGGCTGGGGCGGGCACACAGCAGCGAAACAAAGAGGGGCACCACACGATCGGCGAAGTGCGATGACGGCAGGTGCATCAACTTGGCTGAGAAAGTGGGAAAAGAGACACAGCAGGGGAGGAGGATGGTGTGTTAGCATTTCTGTCCGTCCCTGTGTGCGTGACGGTACCTGTCGCGTAGATGGCTGCGTGAAGGATGGGCTGTGGGGGCATCTCGGCATTGATGGACTGGACGACGGTCGTCATGACACGGGCAACCAAATCGGCAAAGTGCGACAGCGGACCTGACGGGGAAAACGATGTCACATCCGTGGCTTCTCTTCTTCTGCTGTCCCACTGACCTTGTTCGATGCACTCGGCCATGACCTTCTGCAGTGCCCTTTCTCGCATCTGTCTGTGGTTGTCCTGTTCGATGGTGTCCATCTCCTGCTCGCCGTCTGCCGCCACATCACCCTGATCCTCGTTATCCTCCTCACCCAACACCTCAAGGGGGCAAAGGAGACAACACACACATGATGTGTGTGTGGTGTTGGTGGTGCGCTTGTAATATTTGTCCTGTCGGCTCCTTACTGTGACGGAGCATTTCTCGTAGTGGGCCTTGCTGGAGTGTGCGTAGAACAATACAGACTCGCCGATGAGGTCCAGAAGCGAGGGCAGCGATGCACTGCACTCGCCACCACCAAGAATGGCCTGTGCCAGGGGCAGTGGGGAGATCCCCCCCACATACACACATGAACAAAAGGGAGTTTCGCTCCTACCGAGATGTGTTGGCCGGCATCGATGAGCGTTTCCATGAGTTTCTGTCTCGGCCTCTTGTAGACGAATAGCAGTGACAGCACATCCCTCACCGCAGCACATGGCAACGAACCATCGACCGCACTCAACCTGACACATAACACAATGTCATCCCATCAGCTCCCCTCTGTGTGCCCGTCTGTCATTGGCTTACTTGTTTCGGATCAGTGTGGGTATGTCTTGGTTTGCGAGAAGGTGTCTCCTGCAGGAGGGCAGCAGGCTCGCCAGGACGACCACACCCGTCACACAACACCTGCACACCAGTACGCAGATACACAACAGTACGCACCACATCGTACACGCCTCTCTTAAGAATAGCTTGTGGTCGTCATATCGTCATCCCTTACCGCAGAGCGAACACAGATTGCGTCTCGGTATGCTTCAGCAACTTCACGAGTCTGTCGACCATCTCGGCAAACACGTTCTGCATCGCCGCCTTGTGCCGGGCTGCGCGGCGCTGCACCTGTGCACACGCACACACACACACACAATACAGACGCAGGGCCGGATATACTGACACGAGGCCGCCGGCCTGTGTGTGGTTGCCTACCTCCTTTGCGATTTCGTCCACAGATGCGGACGCGCTGGCTTGTGTCTCGGATGTGTTGCTGTTGGTCGTCTTCTTTCGGGTGAGGGCCTGCTGTGCGCCCGACACGAGTGATGTGACGAGGAGAAGGGTGTGCAGGGCGACGCCGTCGTGCTCGGGCGGCTCCTGGTCGTCGGGGGACGCTGGGGCGACGCCACTCTTGAAAAGAACCTGACACTCAAGACAAGGCAGGATGTCTTATTATGTGCACACGCGCGCGTGTGTGTGGTAACCCGCAGTTTGCTTCCACTGGCCTCCTCCTCTGTCTTGGCAGCCGCGTCGAGAGCCCCACCATCATCCTGCTGCAGAGAGGTGTGGGCATGGAGGATGATGCACAGAGGGAGGTCGTGCATGTGGGGGGGATTAGCTCACCTGTGCGGCGAGTCGTTTGAGTGCCTCGGCCGATGCTTTGTGTATGACGTCTCCGGGCAGCCCTTCATCGACTGTCGACAGCACGCGGATCAGCAGATCGCACGGCAGGACGCCATGGCCGCAGCCTGTCAGCAACAACAATACACAGATTGGTCGCTAATCTATGTGCATTCTGTGTGTCTCGTGTGTGACCGCTGTGTGGTGCGATGTGGTCTAGGCAGATGTGAGGGGAATACTGACACAGGCACCAAATTAAAGGCAGGCAGTGTGAGTGGCGAAGCGGTGGACGTCTGTGTGGAAACCGCGCATACGAATTCGCTGGACAGCAGAACTTCGGTGGCACTCCGGATCCCCCTGACACACAGAGACACGGATGTGCGTGGCACATAGAGTGTATGCACTCATTGTGCTAGTGGCTTACCACTGGTTGAGTAGAGTGATGACGCTGTCAGTGAACTGCCGCACGTTGCTCCACTTGGGCAGCAGACCGCTCATCAACAGCTGACCACACACACATCCATGAGACACACATGACTTATGGCATCGGATCGGTGCGCCCACTTTGACGATGCGCCGCAGTGAGGGAGATCCGAACAGCTCGCCGATGAAGAAATCCAGCCCCAACTCACACGACAGCACACCTGCATTGAGGGCACACCCACACACGCATGGATGGATTTCCCTCTGTCTGAGGGTGTTGTGTCCCACTTGCGAATCCTTCAGATGCCTGGAAGACCGCCAGCAGCTCCTGCTCGACGCCCTTGAGCAGCGTGACGTCCTCGGGGGCCGCTGCGACGGACTTGAGAAGCGACAAGAACCACATGTTACCCAAACTCGACAACTGCATATGCACACACACATATGCACATCGACAAGCGTCTTCATGACGGCCGCTCTCCCCGCTGCCCTTACCCTTTGTGTGTCCTCCTCTGCCCATCCTTGCTGCCCATTGTCGATGGAGTGTATGGCGATGATGGTCTTGCGACACGCAGTCAGGGCGGTCATTTTGGCCTTCTTGGAAGTGTCGGCGCAGCCCCGCTCCAGCAGGGCCGACAGCATGTCGAGCACTGCCGATGGGGGCAGGTGGTGGACGACTGGCTCGATGGCTGATGAGAGTGTGGTGAATGCCTTGCTGCGGGTGAGGGCGTCGCCGTCGCAGCACAGCAACTCAACAAACGACTGAGGCAGAACAAGGAGGGAGGGAGGGAGGGAGGGAGGGAGGGGAGAGGGGAGAGGGCAGGTGCAATTCGTCCGTCCCATGGCGATTTACCAGGTCAGGTTCGGTCTCGTCATCGATGTCCTGCAGCTGAACACACACACAGGCGCGCGCGCGATACACATGCATGAATACCCTCATATTCTTTGGCCGACTTGTTGGATGAGTATGGGGATGCATCGCGCCACGAGCAGCTTCCGGCCGGCAGCCTGCTTGAACAGCGAGGGATGTTTCGACAGCACACACGCCAGCGCCGTGGTGAGGTGCTCGCCATGCCGGCAGCGCTTCTCGAGGCCCGTCAGGAAATCAAACACAGCTGCAACGAACGGACGCACACTGCAGGATACGTGTAAGGGAAGGAGCGGTGTGTATGTTGGCCGACCTTTGTAGGACACGTCTGCGAGGCAAAGGGATGCGATGATGGTGGCCGCGCGGGAGCCGTCGAGGATAGAGTTGGTCAGGGGCAGCAGTTGCTGGACAAGGCCGACCTTCTGCGCCACACTGAACGCTGTGGGCAATCCGACACTGACCAACACGACCCCCCCCCCCGCCCCCCCACACAAAGGACACTGATGCAGGCGACCGATCCCTGCCTGTGCACATACGCGGGTACAGCTGTGCAGCATGCTTTGATGGCGGCCACTCCCATTTGGGAGTCCACGCCCACAACCGACAACACACGCACACACGAACTGCACACACCGACACCAACATAATGACCAACGGAGAACCATCCTGTTGTCACGATACGTCGCCTGCATGCCTCGCCCACCTGACGCAGAGCGCCACGGCGGCCTCTCTCTCGTTGGGCACGAACCGCTCTGCCGCGAGTGCGAGGGAAGTGGACGTGATGGTTGAGATTGCCTTGAGGCAGTCCAGCAGTGCGCTTGGCGCGTTGGTGCCGTCGTCACCCTCCATGAGGTCGTCGTCGGCTGGCCGCTTCTTGCCCCTGCCCTTGGCCTTGGCCTTGGCGGCGCCGCCCTTCTTCTTGCCTAGTGCATTGGATGCAGACACGGCACCATCTGCGGAGGAGAGGGCCGCAAGGAACACTGAATTGCGTCATTTGTCTGTGGCTTGTCGTGCTGCTCACCGCTGCATCTCTTGAGGGCCTCGTCGAGCAGCACCAACACACAAAACAACAGCTGCATCACACACACACGAAGGAGGAAACCAAGCTTGAGGTTCTGACTGTCTTGGAAGACACGAATCGAAGCTCAGCCACATAGATGACGGCGGGCTGTTCGGTCTCCCGACACATTGCACTGCAGCCGCCTTCGGTGAACCGACACACACGATGAGCCAACTGCAGCATAAAACACAGAAACGGCGAATCCCTTGTCATAGCCTGCTGGAGTCATGAGGCGGGGACTTGCCTCGTAGATGCCGTCCATTCCCTCCTCCTCGCACCGCCTCACGATCAGCACATGTAGGGCAGCGAAGTCGGCGGCGCTCTTCTCCTTGCCGCTCCTGTTGCCCATGGCCGTCGTCACGTGATGGTTCAGCGCCGTCAGATCTTTGCTCATGAGGCTGGCGTGGGTTGAGGGGGAGATCCATTCTGGCGAAAGGCTGAGGTCACTGAAGATGACCACGCGCTCGCCCGGCTGCTCGCCCTCCATTTTTGTCGGGGAAGCGAGAGGTAGTGTTTACAGGTTTGTAAACACTGTGTGTCCAGAAAACATATACCATTATTTAGAATTCGTGATAAAGGAAGAAAGGACGAGTTTGCCTGATGTTGCCGGACCTTCCACCCACCGCTCCCTCCCTCCCGCCAGCTCGGACATCTACCTGCGCATCCGAGGGTACGTCAGTCATGTGATTGCCCGCGCGGCCCACTTCCGCACCTCCTCGCGCGACCCGGCGAAGACCACCCTCTCCTTGCAGTGCTCACACAGGTACTCCGGCTCGTCCAGCAGGTCCACCAAAGCTATCCGGTCCTCCCTCTTGCGGCCCTGGTTCTGCCTCTCGATGTCCTCATTCTCCTTACCCCGCCGCACATTCTCAGCCCGCACTCTCTGGAGGTCCCGCTGCACCTTGCTGCATTGGTCGTCGTAGCACTGCCGGCACACCCGGAGGTGTCTGCAGGGCATGTACATGACCGACGGGGCCGCGTCGAAGCAGATGGAGCACTCATGCCCATCTCCCTCTTGCTGGGCCGACGGCAGTTGCTGCTGCTGGTAGTGGGGCTGCTGTGGTGGTGGTGGGGCGGATGAGCTGCTGGACGATGAAGGGGGCTGTTGTTGGACGCTGAGGGCAGCCAGCCTGAGGCAGACAGGACACCGTGCGTGACGATTAATTCGGATGTGACACTCGTGTCATTCCTACTTGCGATTGGTCTCCTCGAGTTGCTGTAGGTGGTGCAAGAGGGCCCTCTCGCGTTGCTGCTGCTCCTCCCGCTCCCTCCTCAGCGCGTCCCTCTCACGCTGCACCTCACACTCAACAGAGGACGGCCCAACCGGCGACCTGCACACCACACCCACAGCACTAAGATATGGATGTGTGGAAGGATGCAGGCGTTGCTTCCTTCACCTACCCGTGAGCAGACGTGGCCGACTCGGTACCCTGTTGGTCGGCCGAGCAGCTGCGGTCTGCTGCGTAAGTCTCGTCCGCAGCGAACAGTGGGAAGGGAGGCGGCGGTGGTGAGGGAGGCCCAACTTCGCCGCCAAACTACTCACCATAGTCGCTCCCATCGTCAGCAGCGGTACACGGTCCCGCCGACCAGTCGCCACGTAATGCACTGCCGCTCGATGTTGTGGCAGCTGCAGCTGCGGCAGCCGCCATGGTGTGACGGGGGCTGGGAGTGCCATTGTAGTTGTGTGTGTGGTGGTGATGGCCGCCAGGTGGGCGGGGCGCGGGCAGCATTGGGGGAGGGGGTGGGGGGAACGGTGGGGGGGTGAGAAGCGCCAGAGGGCTGAGCAGGAATGACACGTAGATGGTGGATGGAGAAGGTCCTCGTTTGCATACAAGCCCACCTGTGTTGTTTGGCTGACGGGGCTGCCATCGACACCGCTTGATGCTCACCAGCTAACCCATTCGATAGGGAGAACACATTGCTCCGACGACCCACAGAGCTGCAGGAACACGGAGAATGATTCATGGTCACGTCAGCGGTATGGTGCGGCGTGTGCGTGTCTTACGGGGAGGGCATGTTGGCTGCAGCCACTGCGGCAGGACCTTCTACCACACATGGGGATTGATAGGTGGCCTTGCCGAGGGCACTCGGTGGCGACGAAGTCGAAGAGAGTGGCAGGAGACGGCCATCCGGCGGCTGCTGGGTGGCCACGGGCTTGTTGATGGTCTCCTTTTTGGGGTTGAATGGTCCGCCGCCATCGTTGCCCTCGTCGCCAGAGACGATGTTTGACGGCACGCACGCCGTCAGCTGCCTGCACCAAGAGGGCAACAACGAATGATGTCGTGTGTAGTGTTGCCTGGCGTTTGTGTGTGTTGGTGTGTGTACCCCTGGTTGACAAGGTCATTGGATGGAGCGGCCGCAGATACCGAGGGCAGGGGTTGCTCATCGGCCGACCCACCGTCGCCCTCCTCCTTGGCCGGCATGGCGCCGTTCTCGTCATCAGACAACTCACCACTGAGAGAACAACAGGAAGGGGATGGCACACACTCCTCTATGCTCCTCAGACTTACCCTGATTGGTCTACAGGAGCGCTCGACGATGACGCAGCAGCGGGTGCACTGGCTTGCCCCCCTCCCCCTCTACCGCCCTTGTTCTTCTTTCTGTTGTGTCGCTTCTTCTTCTTTGCTGTGCCACTGCTGGCTGGGTGGGGCGCCTGCGGGTCGTCGTCGAAGGACATGTTGGCGATGGCTTTGTTGTAGCGTTCGGTCTCGGCTTTCTCGACGCCATCAAAGATATCGCGCAGCTGCATGGAATGTCAGCCACACCACGGACAGAGAGAATGACTTATCATGACATCGGCGAAGGGGGCGTGGCGTGTCTGTCCTGGCTGACCTTTGTCAACACGTTGGTGTGTTTGCTCTTCTTGCCACGCCGCTGCATCTCGCGGAGCGACTTGACAGAATCGAGCTGACCACACGCGCACACAAAGAATACAGAACGCTCCACAGTTTCCTCAATTCCGTCGGCGCCGTCGACCACCGTCTCCACGGCGCTCTCAATACGAAGCAGCGGTGCAATGGATGCAGCGGCGCCAGTGAGCGAAGTGGTTGTCAACACGTGCACACGCAGCACGGCCCTGCATATGACAGAGGCGAACCCAGCCCTGTCGGCGACCTGACGAAGGCCCAAGCACCAACCAATACAGGCAGGGAGAGATTGTATGCCACGCAAAGGAAGGGCGCCGGCTCCCCACATGCCTACCTACCGGCGGTGAGACGGCCGCAATCCTAGCCATCAGGTCCGTCAGATTAGCGAGGATGGCCAGCCCCACTGAGGGTGTCCGTGTCAGTCTGTCGTCGTTGACGAGCTTGACACAGATGGCGGGCAGCCCAGAATCGATGAGCGAACCAATGTCATCTGCACACACAGAGACACAGCGGATGGCGTCCTTCCTTTCGCTCCCATCTCCCCTTCTCCCCGGCCACTCACCCGTTATGCAGCACTGGAATGGCGTCGCGAGGACGATGCTGATCTGCGCGGCTCTGTTTACGTCTGGCATTGTGTGCCCGTCGACGAACAGCGGTGGAGGTCCGTCGTTGACGGATGCAAAGATACCCCTGAAGACCTCTGGACGGAGCACTCTCTCTACGAAGGGCCTGCAGTCGTCCGCTACACACGATGCACCTGCACTCACCACACGTTGGCGCCACACAGCCAGTCGGGTATGTACCGGCGCCCTATTTGTTGTCTACGACTCACTCGTTCATAGGTATGCACCTGGGAGATCCTTGGCCGCGGCCATCGGTCGGGAGACGAGCTCGCTGATGAGGCCTAGCTTGAGCGATGCCGCCCACTTGTCTTCGGCTGTGGCACTCTTGGATCCGATGACGCCCACGAGCTGGTCTACATGGACAAAGGCGTGCTTCTGAAGCGCACCACACACGGCCGTCAGCGTCTCAACCGTCGGCACTGAACCACCAAGCATCACCACACACACACATTTGTATGCCTGACGATCTGGACCGACCGACTCGCGCTCACCGTTGCCGAGCACTGCCGATAGGAACGCGAGCATCGAAGCGCGGTGCGAGTGGTAGGGGTCCATCAAGTTGCTGTGCGACACCGCAAACAGTACGTGCAGCAAGGAGAGCCGCAGCCACACCAGGGCCGCCGACGGCTCCACGTCAGCCAGCAAAACCTCGACTAACGACTCCACCATGGTGGCAAGACTATCGAAGCCATCCCTGACGAGATCAACAACAATATGCAGGCAAGACAAAGAGCGACTCAGGCAGGGGTCACTCATTCTTTGCTGTATGTATTGTTCGTCCAGACCTGAGCGCGGCGATCCCAGCGTCCTCCATCATGCCCAGGCAGTCTCCGTGGTTGGCCACCAGATGCTCGTGGAAGTCTCGCGTGTTGCCGATGGCCTTGCCATATCGGAGGATGCCCAATAGGAGTATGCAGATGACCGAGATGGACTGACGACGCCCCTGGAGTGCCAGCATGAGGTCGACCAGAACGGTCACGAGTCCCTGCGGCGACCCCTGGCGGGCGATGAGCTCCTGGATGAACGCATCTCTCCTCGCGGCTGGCTCCATCAGCTGTGCCGCCATTGCCAGGCTCATCTCTCTGATGGCCCAGGGCGCTCCAGGGTCCGTGACGATCACCCAGAGAAATCTCGCGGCACGGGCGACGTTGCCGCACCGAAGGACGAAGCGGTTTAGAATCGCCAACTTGATGCCTTCTGAGCCGGAATAAGTGGCAAGGCAAACGAGGTGTGTTGCGAAGGCCTGGACATCACTTGCTGCCAGAAGAGCGTCGACTTCAGCCGCAACGTCATCAGGAAGGGTCAACAAGGGCACGGCCGGGGTGGTCATCGCTACGGACGGGATCTACCAGGGGGCTGCTACAGGGGCTGCATCTGCGCCGCAAAGAAGAGGCCTGAATGAATTGAATGCAAGATGCAGCCATGTGTGCATCAAATTTTCAATTTTCCTCTCAGCTCTTGCTCACCGCGACAGTGCCTCTTGCAAACAGCCACCACAGTCAAACGCTTCCGGATCCCTTTTGCTCGCCGCGAGCTTCAAGCTCGCATCCGTCGAGGAGGAACGCGAGGCGGTTTTTGGTTTTTCTGGAGCGGCGCAAGCGTCGGAAAGCCTCCTGCAAGTGTGTCGCTTGGCAGTGGCCAGTATTGCTGGAGATGCGCACAAGGCCTTGACACCAACTCACCATGGAGGAGGACGGCGGCGGCCCTTCAGGTCAATACCGAACCACACGCACCGAGTCGCGCCGCATCTGGCGAAAACAGCCCTGTGATCCGTTGTGGTCTCTACCATCCTCTCCTCTGCTGGTGTGCTCAGGTCCGTCGACGAGTCGTTCTTCAGGGTTGGGCGATGGGGAGGAGACCGTGGCGGCTCTCAAGGAGAGATACGCCGCACAGATGGCAGAGATGCGCGAACGGCTCGCAGAGCTTCAAGCCGACTGGGAAAACCAGGTCAGGCAGGCGCGGGCGTGCACACGCCTCACTGACCAACGAGGAGAGATGAAGCACAGCACGGCCCCTGTGTTTGCTTCCCTCCCTCCTGTCTGTCGTTAGATCCGTATAGTCAACGACCTGCGTCGGCAGCTGGAGACAGCGTCGTCGATATCGTCCTTCTCGCCCCGGTCCATGGTGGCCTTCCCGCCATCGCCACGCAGACGGCCGTCATTCTTCGGACTCTCCAACGGCGACGTCAGCGACCGCGACAGAGCTGACGCCGCCACGGACAATGGCAATGACGACCTGGGCACCGGCAGGGCCACCGACGATGGGGGGGCGACGGCAGCTGGTGGTGGTGCCATGGACGAGGCGCAGGCACAGCTCGTCGAGTCTCTGCAGCAGCAGTGAGTGTCGCCTTTCACGACACTAAAGGACATGGCTGGAGCGGCAGATGATGTGCTTCCTGTGTGGGTGTGTGGTGTGGTGTGCGGCTACTGTGTGTGTGTGTGTTCAGGATAGTGGAGGTGTCAACGGTTGTAGCGACTCGCGAGGCGGAGATCCAGAAGCTGCAGGACGGGCTGGACCAGCTGACGTGCGAGAGCCAGCAGCTGCGGGGCCAGCTGTCGGAGAAGGACCAGATGCTCATACGCCTGCAACACAAAATCATGTGCCTCGAGGTATGCAACACAGGCAGGCGCAATGGAAGCAACCACGCACTGTCTGTCTGTCTGTCTGTGCTGTGCTGTTTGTCAGGCGTCTAAGAACAGCGGTTCTCCGGTGACGTCTGACTGGTCCATCACTCACGCGTTCCCCCCGGCGCCCATCGGCCTCCCCGCCAAGACCTACCGGCCCCCATCCACCCCCTCCATTGACCACCCCCTCCGCCCCATCTGCTCCGACCACGACCTCATGATGCGCGAGAACGCCACTCCCAATGTCATCCCCTGGTCGCCACAGCTCGTGCGCCCATTCGCATGTCGCACCACAGCCAAGCGGAGCAGCCCCCCCTCGCCATCCGCGGCCCACCACCATCACACGTATCGGTCGTTCCACCGGGGGTATTCCCTCACGCTGCCCCGGGAGCCGGAGCCGCTGGGCGAGCAGACGCCGCCCGGAATCAGCCGGGTATTTGCGGCCATCGAGAGGATAGAGGAGCCCGTCAGCCCCCCCATGCGCGGCTACGTCAAGAGGTCCTTCTCGATGCCCGTCAACCACCCTTCCATGATCGTCAGCCTCCCCCCGCTCTCCCAGGAACCGGACACCGTCTTCGTCCTCAGCAACATGCAGCACCAGCAGCAGGGCGAGGAGGGGGAGGGCGAGAGCAGCAAGCTCCACGCCACCACCAATGGCATTGACGGGGGGTGCGGTGGCGGTCTGCGGATGCGCGAGATGCCCACTCACCACCACCACCACCACCATACCGAGGCGACGTCGACCGAGGCCGAGTCGCGTGACAGCGGGGGGTCGCCATCGTTTTGCGTCAAGGTGGTGGATGAGGCCATCCCTGTGGTGGTGGATGCGGGCACCTCAGACCGACTGATGACGCCGCGGGGGGACCATGACATGTAAGCGCACAGGGGAGAGAGGCGAGAGCAAGGCGGCGCATGACATCGCTCGGTCATCCGCTGTGTTGTGTTGTCTCCGTTCATCCAGTGCGGTTTTGCCGTGCCCTCTGGTGGCCCTCGGAGATCAGGCGTCAGGAGGCAATTGATGGATCGGGGGAGGGAGGGAGGGAGGGAGCAGAGAGGAAGCTGTTGTGTCGGTCAGTGTATGGCTGGGGTCGGTCTGTCCGTATCAATCAACGAAGCGAGCCAATGGTCCGTCAGGTGGTGTGGTGTTACGCTATTTATTTGTCTAGCCATCCGATCCACTCATTCCATCACATACCATTACCCGTCCATCTCTGTCCCCCCACACACGCAATGAACACCCGCACCCACTTTTATGCACCATCCACAGCTGTGCACACGGGCCGATTTGTCCCGCTGTGTCAGTGAGTGAGAGGGAGAGAGAGATGTTGGTTGGTCTTGCGTCACGGACCTCAAGCACACAGACAGAGCAACTCTTTCCCCTTCCCCTCACAGACAGACAGACAGACAGACAGCCAGGCGCACTATCGTTTACCCTTTCTCCCCCCCAGCCCATCCCTCCCTCCCTCCCTCCCTACTCGCTCCATTCATTTCTCTCTCTTTCTTTCTTGGTTCGTCTTTGACCTGCGTGGCTGGCTGGCTGGCTGGCTGCAATGGTCGATAGATCAGCAATTTTGTCGCCGGGGGCTGGGGGGTGGGGGTGTGGGGCTGACGGATGCCTGTTGGTTGGTTTGTTGGTTGGTTGAGGTTGTGGCGGGCCGATCGATCGGCTGCGTGCGCACTTTGAACAAGAGCAAGAGACGCACATCTATAGACACAAGGTACTTACGTATGGACACATACTCCGTGCCTGCCTGCCTGCCTGCCTGTGCGTAAGATCGTTTCTCTTCTAATTCCTTTCTGGTGTGTGTACGATCGACCGACTGACCGACTGACTGACCGACCAAAGCAAGCCCAGCCAGGCCAATCACTGCTCTCCTTCGTGCGACTCTGCTCTGCCCGTGCCTGCATTGCATTCCATGACGCCTGTCTGTGTTTCTGTGCGTGCGCGTAGCCAGCTCGTGTACAGCAGCAGCAGCAGCAGCAGAGAAGGGAGGGATCATTATATATCGCTCCGGTCTCTCATGTGGCTGTGTGTGTGTGAGACTCCGTCTGTGTGAGGGTGGGCGGTGGCCTGTTGGTATGGGGTGTTGGGGTGTGTGCGTGTGGGGGTGGGTGGGGGGCACGTCTGTCTGTATAGCGCTTGTGGTCGGTCGCCTCTTCTGTCTCTCTCTTTCTTCTTTGCATGTCTACACGTGTGTGTGTGTGTGTTGCGTATATGGATGGTTTGTCCACATCCATTTTTTCGCACGTGAGAGCTGTGTGTTTTCATGTGAGTGACCCACTCTCTCTCTGTGTTTTGATTGACTCCTCACTCACTCACTCACTCACTCACTGAACGAACGAACGAATGAACGAACGACTCCCTGACTCCTCCATGGCTGCACTTGCATACAGCTGCATGTCATCGTGTCGGTCGGTGCGTGTGGGGGGAGGGGGGGAGGGTGTTGGGTGTTGGGGTGACTATGTATGGCTTAGTAAATAGATCCTGTTTATCTACCGGGACAACAAAGGGACGCCTGGCTATCCATGTTTGATCAATGAATGGTGGGTGAATGGGGAGACTTTTCTATCTCTCGGCGGCGGCGGCCTGGGAGGGATTTTGTGATGGCCATGGCGGTCGGTCGGTGAGTGAGTGTAGGGATGCGTATTTTTGTCATCTGCCGTGTTGTGTGCGTCGTGTGGGGTGCGGTGGGTTGCTTCTTCTCTCTCTATTGTCGCCATTCATTGCATGCCATCGATCAGCCAGTCAGCCCACCGACGACTACTGACTGCATACGCTCCACGGCAGTTTCAGACAAACGCCGTTTGTTTGTTCGTTCGTTCGTTCCCCTCCCCTCTCCGCACACACACACACACACCCACGCCCTCATCCACCCACTCACATCCACACACTGCATGCCATCGATGCCTGCATGGCTAGTATGAGTCCATGTGTGTCTACCGCCAGCGAGCGAAAGAAAAGTCGTCAGATGGCTGGCCGGCCGGCTCCTCCGTTTTCATACGTTTCATGATACGCTCTCGTGGGTGCGCGTGTGTGCCTGTGGGTGGATGGATGGATGCGTGTGTGTGGGGAAGTGCCCATGGATGCTGGTGCGTGCGCGTGCATTGCGTGTTGATGCCTCCTCACCTCACACCATGGCTGGCCGGCTGGCTTCGGCACTTACGAGGACCAAACGAACAAAGTATTTTTTGTATCCACCTACCGCTGCGAAATGGGACGGACACATGCACACACACACACACACACGAGAGGGAGGACACACGAGAGGGAGGACGACTGATGGATGTCGCGGGGTGGGTGTCTATGCTCCGTGTCTGTTGGTGACGGAGGGGCCGAGTGGGTGGGGTGTGCGCGCGCGTGTTCATGGCTGCTCTCGCGTCTGCATGTCTGTCTGTCCGTGCCGCTCGCTTTTTACTCTGGGGTGCGATGATGCGTGCGTGATGCATACGGGCAGTGCACACGAGAGGCTGCTTTGAAAGAAAGAAACAAAGAACGAACGAACGGGGAGTATGTACGTATGTGATGGATCGATCGCTGTGTACGTGTACGCAACGTCCTGCTGCTGCTGTTTGGAGAGAGAGGGCGTGTATACGTAAGTCTGTCTGCATACTTATACAGTTCCACTACAGGCAGGGGCGTCGCGGTGTGTGTGTCGTATTACCTGCTATCTACTTTCTGCGGATGTCTATCTGCTACCTGCTGTCTACCTACTGCCTACTGATGGATGGATGGTCTTGTTTGAAAGTCCAATGCAATGGTGCGTACTACTCTCTCTGTCTGTAGGCCCGTACACACACATACGTCATGCGTCATGCGTTCGTCCGTAGAGACTGTCTGCCTGTGTGTTGCCCTGTGACCTTTGCCTTTATATTTATGTGACATATCTATCAGCCTATCATTCAGCGAGCGGATTGGTCCATCCATCTCTGTCCCGTACGTATCTCGTGTGTCTCTGCGACTCGAGTTAACACATCCTTGGATGAAAGATGCTCATGCCCATTGCCCAATCGTCAACATCCCCTCACAACCATCTCACATGGCCCGACGCGAGCTGAGACGGCATTGGTCGCGACCTGCCCCCAAACTTGTAAAGATGATGTCGCTCGATTTTTTTCCGAGTCGTTTCCCCCGTCGCGTTCTGTGAGGAAGGCGTGAATGCATCATTTCCCTAGATTCGAAGATAGAAGGCCGGTCATCATGTCCGACACACCGTTCCGTGACGGTCACAGTGACGCCGCCGAAGACGGCATGCGTCCGCACCCTCCCGCCCCTCCCGCACACCCCTCTGCGGCCGCATCGCTCCTCCTGGGCCGTCTGGCGGGTCAGGGCGGCTTTCCGGCGTCACTTATGGGTCAGTTGCCGTTGGGCTTCGGTCGGGTGCCGAGACGCTTCGTAGAGTATGATGACGCAATGGAGAAGTGGCTGGCTGTGGAGGAGGGAGGTGAGGGAGGCAGTGAGGGAGGCAGTGAGGGATGCAGCTAAGGGGGAAGGAAATGGCAAGGAGCGACTCGTTCATATATGGTGTCTGTTGTGTGTGTCTGTGTGTGTGTGTGTTGTTTGGCATGCAGGTGTGCCGTACGTTCGCAGCGCGAAGCCATTCGCTGACAGTCAATATGGCGGCAAGGAGCAGGTAAAGCATGGAAGAGAAAAACGATAAGAGTCACATTGTCTGTCCACCCCTCTCTGTTTGCATTCCTGTGGCTGACGGATGGCTGCATTGCATTGCGCTGCATTGACAGGCGAAGGAGGCGGCCATCGCGTATTTGAAGCAGCTGCCCGCCCCTTCGCGTTTCATGTACCGCCCTCCCGCCGCCTACCACCACGCCAGTCATTTCCCCTACCATCACGCCCACCACCACCACCCCGCCATGTCGTCGAGTGTGAAGCAGCGCGTCATGACGGTGTCAGTGCCCACTGAGCTCGAGCTCAGGGCTGCGTTGGCTGACGGCAGAGTCGGATACGATCACAGGAAGGTCAGCAGGCCAAGTCAGACAGGGGGAGAAGGGTGTGAGTGGGTCGGATGGACGTCATGGTGTTGTTTGCCTATGGCGTTTCACCCATTTGCAGAAGTTGGTAGTTGGGACTTTGTTTCACGAAGGAGCACCCGTGCTTAGACAGTGGTTCGCCCCCGGCCAATACCGTAAGCAAGCCAAGAAGAAACGCCGAAACCCACACATGCAGCCGGAATGAGAAGCTTCGGATCACACCTTCCTCTGTCGTATTTCTTTGCCTCAGGTAACTTCGTCGCGGCGCAGCTGCGGGCTCTCATGTGGGTCAACGAGCAAGAGCAGCTACTGCAGCGGCCCCGCTCCACCCACAGACAGCGACGCCAGGCCAGCACCCCGCCCCAGCAGACCGAGACACAAGAGTCGCACGAGGACAGGGAGGCCGCGTCGCTGCATGCCGTCATCGAGGCCAAGAGGCGGGTGCAGGAGATCCGCAAGAAGAAGGCCGACGCGACGGTTCCCAGGGTGGATGTGGACCTCACCCTGACCAACGGGCATGACGCCGGTGTGCATGGCTACATCAGCAAGAAAGACGAGGAGCTGATGGACCTCCTCGACGAAGCCGACAGCCGGCAGCAGCACCAGCAGCAGCAGCAGCAGCAGCGTGAGCGTGAGCGTCCCCCCCGTCCGTACTCGTATGTGCCCCCCACCAACCCCACACCCTTCCCACGGCGGCCGCTGCAGTTCCGCCCGTTCAGCTTCGTCCGCCACCCCAACAGCGGCGTGCCGATGCCCTTCAACGCCCCGTCACTCGTGCAGCGCTTCCACTACCCCTTCAGTCCTCTCATGCCCATGAGTGACACAGGCGGCCGCAGACAGCAGCAGTCGACCAGGGGGCGCAAGGGCTCCTCTCCCCTCACCCCATCCCCCCCACCCACACCCACACCCCGTAGACACAAGAAATCCCACAACGACACAATCGACGACAGCGGGGTCGTCAGGCGCCAGACGCACGAGAGGAAGAGACGGAGCGCGGGGGCCAAGGCACCACATCAGCGCGGGAAGGTCGCCCTTAAGGGGCAGCCCCCGCACCCTCACACACATCGCTGCTACCGCACCGCCCGCTTTAGCAACCCCTGCGGCCGCGCATTCCTCCGCTTTCTCGGGCCCCCCACCGGCACGCGACCGGACGACGGTGAGAAGGACGGCGTGCGCGCCAAGGATGAGGGCGAGATGTGCAAGGAGATGACGGACGAGGTGCTGGCTGAGCTGCTGCTCTCTCTGCGCAAGGGCGGCTTCTACCAGCGTGCAGACAAGACAGAGGAGGGGGCGGAGGGGGCGGAGGGGGCGGAGGGGGCGGAGGGGGCGGAGGGGGG